GAGGGGCAAATGCTCTTTGTGACCTCAATAAGTTAACTTCATGATATGTGTCACACTTTTCACTGTTGTAAAATGGAAGAGAAAGATTTAAGCACTTCTTTTAGTTGCCCTACAAGCTTACAAAGGCATTATTTTATGCCTCTTATATTCCAGATCACTTGTATGCCTAAACTTTGGTCCTGAGCAATTTCTCAAAAAATCTGCCATTAGTTATGCAAACTATTCTCTCTTTTCTTGTATCCAAACTGAACAGGAGTCTGGCCTCGGCCTCCATATTCACTTGTTAACACGAGAGATTTATGCTGCAGTGCTTACTAATTCTGTCCTTTCCATAACAAACCTCGGACTCTCTAACACCTGCAAGGAGAAATAGTGTGCAGAGTTGGTTAATGAAAAGACAAATCCATGTCAGATTGTTGTTAATTCAGTACACTGACACTCCTTAACTGGTTTCAAGTCTTCTACTAAGTTGCAGAATCAAAAAACAAGTGGCATGTTCCTCTCGTGTGCTTAGGTATCTGCACGATTGAGATTGTTACATTTCTTTGAAGAATAGTTCTGTAATTTTTCAAAGATTTTTAAGTGTCTAACCAAAACTACTTTTACAGAAGAAATGCACATAGAGAAAAATGTGACATACGATGATGAAGTTAGCTTAGTTGAGGTCACAAAGAGCATTTGCCCTCGAGCTTATTAAACATGCCAATCCAATTCATGCTTTTTCTGCATAACAGCAATACTAAGTTATCACCGAGTCAAACTCTGCTCAATCTTTCACCTTCTGATTATTGTACTCCCTTCTTTGTCCTCATCTTCGTGGCTTTTCTGTAAATAACCAAGGGATGTGAATAGAGTTTATTAAGCAAGAGAAAGTCAAAAGAAGGCTAACTAGATAGAGTAGAGAAGTGTTATTAACTTAAGAATGGCAGGAGCAAGCTCTAGTGATGTAATGGCTATTGCCAATGTTAATCAGGATCATGTATATCCTGCTCCAATCAGATACGACATTGATGTGATAACGAATCCAAGGATCTTCTCCAGACTCTCCTAATATTCCGCTCTGCAATGGGTACCAGGTTTATGTAGGACAAATTTTCAAAACCAACCTATTTGAACTTTTATTCCCAAAAAAAGACCCGTTTCACATTTATTTAGAGAAACCGACCTGGTTTCAGCCTCAGCGCTGAAACCAGGTCGGTTTTTGAAAAAAACTCTCCGAAACTTCACGGGAGTTGAACTCCCGTGAAGTTTTTTGAACTACGAAACTTCACGGGAGTTCAACTCCCGTGAAGTTTCGGAGAGTTTTTTTCAAAAACCGACCTGGTTTCAGCACTGAGGCTGAAACCAGGTCGGTTTTTGCAATTATTTTTGAATGGGGTCGTTTTTAGGGAATAAAAGTCCAAATAGGTTGGTTTAGAAAATTTGTCCGGTTTATGTATGTAGTGCACTATTGTTTTCTTATATCTGCAATTTTTTTTTCAAAACTGTTTAGACGATACATGCATCTGCTTATATTAGATATTGGACAATAGTAAGGGTTGATTAACTAATTAGAGATTTTATTGTTTTCTTTGATGGATAAGAAATCCTTTGATTGGATGGGAGAAATTCAATTGATAGAAGACTAAATTACATAAAACTGATAAAAGATTATAATGTATAATTATTGATCTCTTATGTCAATAGTATTTGGGTAAAAAAATACAAGGAGCTATGTACGGAGAAACTATCAGAAAGTTAAGAGATATCCTTCAAAAAAATCAAGTTGTTTTTATTTTAAATGGAGAAGTAAAGGAAATAAACTGAAAATTCAGAAACATTCATGAATCACTTTGAATTGACATTGACAAAAAGTATATCCATCAAAGAAGCACGCACCACTTAAGTTCCTTAAATATCATATTAACTTTATTATAACCAAAGAAGCATTCTCTATTAACTTTATTATAATCATTTTAACTTTATTAACTTTATTATAATCATATTAACTTTATTATAATCAAAGAATCATTCTCTATGGAAGATACAAGAAAAATTAGTAAGTAATATAAATTTACATACTTTATTCTTCAAATACTAAAGAAATCATAAATTTAATGTAAAACTACATAAATCATTTTACAATAGAAACTAAAGTGAAATCATTGCTTAACTATGTTGCAAGATATAACAAACTAGATAAAAGGAGGAAAATCACTATAATGGATAAAATGTATACACATGATATTTATTTACAATAGCGTAAGTAATACAATGACATCGACCTTTTTCCTTTTTCTACACAGTGGCATGACTCTGTGTGTAACTATATTTGGGGGAGATGACCACTAACGAATGATCAATTCTTGAGGACACGATTAAAGATAAGGATATAATAGCACTATCATATTTCAAAATCTTTAAATATGAAAGTAAAATATTTCATTACTTAAATTCTTATTAAAAGCCACTAAACATAAAATTTACCTTATATATGTCTCTAATTTGCAGGAAAAATATGCATGTCATCATAATTTGCATCAGTAATATATATCAACCCAAAGATACAGCTTATTAGAAAAAAATAAGAGGATGTTAAGTAGACCAAGTAAACATCCATATAATACAATAAAGAAAAAATATTATATTTTAAAGCTAATAAGTAAGGCTCATTCAGAACAAGCTGTCAAGACAAAAACATCTCCATTAGGGCTCTTTACAAATACAACATAAATTTAAATTACTGATATATGCAGTTATCACAACAATTAAAGATGTATGATCTTCCGATACCTAATCTAAAATTCACACAATTAAACCTAAAAATAGTTTACCAATATACTACATGCTAGTGCACCTATAATGCAAAAATAACTATCATTTATAATAGAGTTGATCTGTGGTTCTATTCTTGCAAAAGCTATAACAAGAAGGTGGCTAATAAGAGTGTCCAAATGATAAATATCACAAAATCGCCGATGACATAGTACTAAGGTTAAGTAATATCTTCATCATGAAATAAACATATTAAGATCAAATATTAATGTTATAATATAAGGCAAATTGAGGAAAATACAGTTATTTAGCTCAAATCCTTGTGGAAAATGACATGGATAGAGCAAATGTAATATTATTTAATGTGGTAAAAACTCTTATTGGATGCACAATAGAAGAATTCATTGCAGAGAAACCTAATATTATTTAAGTAATAAATTAGAAACAAAAAA